TCTTCCAGAGCACCTGAGATCACCCCCAGTTTTTGGTGGGGTTCGTGTTGCTCAGTCTTTGGTTTTCTATGTTGTTTTGTGTACTGTTGTTTGTCAATTGTCTTTTTCTTTTTTAGCTATGCATTGTCAGTTTATTTTCGACTTATCAGTTTGAATGTTCCTTTGGTATCCTTCGCCTCTCTTTTACATATAATTCTGGCAGGTATCATCTGTCCTTGACAAGTTGACCTCATGTACATGGTTCATAATTTTTAAGTTTTCCAGGTTAAGTAAGTTTTTAGATACTATAAGTAATAGGTCAGCTATATTTGGTGCACAGAATGTTTGTTATGTATACATGTTTGCCTGGCATGTATCATCTGATCTTAAACTCATTTTCATGGGTCATTGATCAATATTAAGTTTTCATGGTTTGGTCTGTTTCTTGGATACTATAAGCAATAGGTCAACTATGTTTGGTGTATGGAATGATTGCTGGGTGTACATGTCTGTCTGGTAGCATTTGTCTGACCTTTATCTCATTGTCATGGTTCGTTGATAATGTTAAGCTTATGTGATACATGTAGTAAAACCTTTATCTTTAAGACTTCCAAGATAAAAATTCAATCATGGTCAGTAAATCAGACGAGACAGTTCAGCGTGTGCACTATCTTTTCTTTAATTGTGTTTTTTTTTCTTTGGCCTGACATATGTTACAAAAATATCTTTTCTTGTATGACATAACACAGAATCATTGTTTTTATGCCCCCACCGTAGCAGAGGGGGCATTAAGTTTTACCCTTATCCGTCTGGACGTCAGTCCGTCCGTTCGTACATGCATCCCAATATTGGTTTCCGTTCTCTAACTTTAGTTTGCCTCAACCAAATGTTATGAAACTTAAACATAATGCTTATTACCACAAAATACAGATCAAGTTTGAATTTACAGTTCTAGAGTTATGCCCCTTTACAAATGGAAAAATTGCTGAATTTTTCATTTCCGTTCTCAAACTTAAGTTTGCCTCAACTAAATGTTTTGAAACTTATACACAATGCTAATTACCACAAAACTCAGATCAAGAACAAATTTGGGTAGCATCACTTTTACAGTTCTTGAGTTATGTCCCTTTAAAACATTATATGCAAGCGGGGGCATCATCTGTGTCCCATGGACACATTCCCCATTTATTTTGGAGTTGAAAGAAAATAGTTATAAATTCAGTTTATAATCATTTAGACTGACATTGGAGATAGAAGTGGCTTTAAATTGATACTGCTATCACTGTCCTTTACAAGGTTAAAAGTAAATGTTTATCTTTTCTATATCATTAGTGAACAGGTAACACAAAGCATTCACTTAATTCCATAGAAATTCCTCAGTTGGCAAGACACCTAAGTTACAATTATGTACAAGCTATGTATCAGATTGTAACTTTAAGACTGAATTAGATGAGAATTTTGTTTAAAGTACTTTAGATTATTTTAAGGGGGGAGGGGGGACATGAATATGCTTGAAATTGTAAAAAATTGGCCTTACAGTAGTGTGTGATAGTTGATTTTCATATGTTGATTAAAATTGGCCTGACAGTAGTGTGTGATAGTTGATTTTCATATGTTGATTGGGATGTGGACCATCATGATCCATAGCTTTTGTGTGGATTTAGGTTAAGTTGTGTTTTATGTAAATTTCTCATGATCCCTCAGTGATACACTTATCTGTGATATTTCAATATTACATGTTGTTTGTTCAGTACAATATATTTCTGTAATAATTTGGTCACTGTGACACACGATTCATGCACCTCTCTGTGATTTTGGGTAAGCTTTGACTTTTGGTCAGTTTATTATTTGGAGGGTAACTTCATACTTCATTCACAGAAGAACATAATTATTAAATGTTTAAATGTAACAGTAATCTCCTTAAGAAATGATATATTTTTACCACTGTAAATCATTATTATAGATATATCATAAAACAGAGTTCCCCATAACCTACATCTCCTGCCTTTCAGGTGCACCCTAATAATGTAGGTCAAAGTAATTACATCTTTAAGGTATGCATACCAGAATGAAAGTTATATTATAGATAGACTATAATATTTTACAAAGATGACTTGAATATGACATGCCATATCCACATTCTATTAAGTGTCTTTTAAAAATATATATTTCTTATATTATGAAAATGATTGTTCAGGGCAAATGTGTATTAGTTTTTTTGCAAGCTGTTAAACCTGAAAAATTGTTTAAGAGTGAAGCAGCTTGATTCAGTTCCACTCTATCAGATTGACCTTAGTTCCACTCTCTCAGATTTACCTTAGTTCCACTCTCTCAGATTTACCTTAGTTCCACTTGATCAATTTTGATTTCAATAGCTACAGAATTTTAACCAGAATCCCTTGTAATAATCAGAAAACCTACAAGAAAATATGTTCACAAATGGTGATCTTTTGTATGAAATTCTAGAAAAGATTTGTTTTCATAAGATTTAGGTAAAATAACAATTCAGATCATATACATGTAGTTTTTGGTGTAATGATGTCAGTATTATGGGCCTCTAGTAGAGTACCCCCTTTGGTCACTAGTTGCCTTTAAAAAATTGCCTCAAGTCACCAGGTCACTTTTAAGCAAACTATACAGTTTTAAACTGATCTGATTCTTGGTTTTAAACATTTTTAAAAGTCACAAGTCCTTTAAAAGGAAATGCAGGTCGCAAGGTTGTCCACCAAACCTCCAAGGTAGCAGGTCAGATTTGACCATGTTTGAGCCATTTTTATACGACAGCAAAAAAATTTGGGGTCATATATTGGTATGACGTTGGCGTCGTCGTCGTCCGAAGACACATTGGTTTCCGCACTCTAACTTTAGTTTAAGTGAATGGATCTTTATGAAATTTTACCATAAGGTTCAATACCACAAAAGGAAAGTTGGGATTGATTTTGGGGGTTATGGTACCAACAGTTAAGGAATTAGGGGCCAAAAATAAGCATTTTTGTAACTTCCAGACATAACTTGTGTGTTAGTTTATAGATCTCTCTGACATTGTACCACAGGGTTCCATATCACAAAGGGAATGCTGGGATTGATTTTGGGGGTAATTGCCTCAAAATTTTGGGAATTAGGGGCCAAAAAAGGGGAAAAAAACAAGCATTTTTCTAGTTTCATGACAATAGCTTGTGTGTAAGTGTATGGATGTTTTTGAAATTGTACTACAAGGTTCCATATCACAAAGGGAATGCTGGGATTGATTTTGGGGGTAATTGCCTCTAAACGTTTAGGAATTACGGGCAAAAAAAGGGGCAAAAAACAAGCATTTTTCTAGTTTCATGACAATAACTTGTGTGTAAGTGTATGGATCTTTCTGAAATTGTACTACAAGGTTCCATATCACAAAGGGAAAGCTGGAATTGAGTTTGGGGGTAATTGCCCAAAACGTTTAGGAATAAGGGGCCAAAAATAAGCATTTTTCTAGTTTCCAGACAATAACGTGTGTTCAAGTGTATGGATCTTTATGAAATTGTACTACAAGGTTCCATATCACAAAGGGAATGCTGTGATTGTTTTTTGGGGGTAATTGCCTCAAAATTTTAGGAATTAGGGGCAAAAAACAAGCATTTTTCTAGTTTCATGACAATAACTTGTGTGTAAGTGTATGGATCTTTCTGAAATTGTACTACAAGGTTCCATATCACAAAGGGAAAGCTTAGATTGAGTTTGGGGGTGATGAATCATAAGGGGGTTCAATAAATTTGGGGGGAGGGATTTTTTTTTCCTTTTTTTTTCTTTAAAATTTTCCATTTTAAATTGGTTATTTCTGATTTATGTATAAAAGCAAATAATAATGATATGGTTTGAATAGGTAAATTAAAATTTTTTAAGTTCTTAGACCACATTCATTCTGTGTCAGAAACCTATGCTGTGTCAAATATTTAATCACAATCCAAATTCAGTGCTGTATCAAGCTTGAATGATGTGTCTATACTTGCCCCAACTGTTCAGGGTTCGACCTCTGCGGTGGTATCAAGCTGCGCCCAGCGGAGCATTTTTATTATATTTTTATATTTTATTTAAAGACAATTGCATATTCCATCAAAATCAGAAAAGATTTAATGTCACAGTACCCAAATTTCATTGAGTACCCAATTTTCACATAAAGATTAGCAATTGAAATATGTCACAGGCATCTACTTCTTACAAAGTCCATAATAAATAACCTTAGACAATTGTCAAAATTGGAGAAATAAAACAAAACATCAGGATGTTTCGTTTAGCACGTGTTCATCATTTCATTATTCCTCATTACAGAATCTTATATTGTTAAGTAAAAGTATACTTTATTTTTCTGAATTGTGAATTTGAACTTTTATAGCATAAAACGTATACGAAAAGGCAGATTCATTTATGGTTTCTTTTTTTTAGTTATAGCTTTTTTGTCTTATTTACAAACAGTTATAAATGATGATGTTTTGTGTATACACCTAGTATTTGCTGATACAAACAGTTGTTGTTACAAACAACATTCTGATGAGCCAGAAATTCTATAATTAGGCTCAGGAATTTATAGCTATAATTACTGACTCAGCTTTATAGAAACCATAATGCTTTCCACTTGGTAGTGGTATTGTATCGAGTGCTCTTGTTGTTATAATTGGAGATCATTCAGTAGGAATAACGTAAAACAATAATCACTTATTCTGCAGGTGGTTTGTTTTCATCCATTCTGTTGGGTTTTAAATTATTTTTCCAATATATATACAATTTTTGTAAAATGCTTTCAAAACTTAAAGATTTGTATTGTGTTATGTTTTATTTAAGCATTGCACTAATCCACTAATTTTTATACGACCGCAAAAATTGAAAATTTTTTGGTCGTATATTGGTATGACGTTGGCGTCGTCGTCGTCGTCGTCGTCGTTGTCGTCGTCGTCGTCGTCGTCGTCCGGCGTCGTCCGAAGACACATTGGTTTTCGCACTCTAACTTTAGTTTAAGTAAATGGATCTCCATGATATTTTACCATAAGGTTCAATACCACGAAAGGACGGTGGGGATTGATTTTGGGGGTTATGGTACCAACAGTTAAGGAATTAGGGGCCAAAAAGGGGCCAAAAATAAGCATTTTTGTAACTTCCAGACAATAACTTGTGTGTAAGTGTATGGATCTCTCTGACATTGTACCACAAGGTTCCATATCACAAAGGGAAGGCTGTAATTGATTTTGGGGGTAATTGCCTCAAAATTTTAGGAATTAGGGGCCAAAAAAGGGGCAAAAAACAAGCATTTTTCTAGTTTCATGACAATAACTTGTGTGTAAGTGTTTGGATATTTCTGAAATTGTACTACAAGGTTCCATATCACAAAGGGAAAGCTGGAATTGAGTTTGAGGGTAATTGCCCGAAACGTTTAGGAATTGGGGGCCAAAAAGGGGCCAAAAATAAGCATTTTTCTAGTTTCCAGACAATAACTTGTGTTCAAGTGTATGGATCTCTCTGAAATTGTACTGCAAGGTACCATACCACAAAGGGAAGGCTGGGATTGAGTTTGGGGGTGATGAATCATAAGGGGGTTCAAAAAATTTGGGGGGGGGGATTTTTTTTTTTCTTTTTTTTTCTTTTTTTCCTTTTTTTTTTCTTTTAAAATTTTCCATTTTAAGTTGGTTATTTCTGATTAATATTTAAAAGCAAATAATAATGATATGGTAGGAGATACACACCAAACAGGATGTGTAAATTATTATATAATAAGTATTGTGCAATAGCAAGAAATTTTCAATTGCACAGTATTGCACAATTGCAAGAAATCTTCAATTGCACAGTATTGCGCAATAGCAAGAAATCTTCAATTGCACAGTATTGCGCAATAGCAAGAAATATCCAATAGCACAATATTGCGCAATAGCAAGAAATTGTCAATTGTACAGTATTGCACAATAGCAAGATATATTCAATTGCACAGTATTGTGCAAAAGAAGATACTTCGTATAAATTGCTTATTTCTTGATCAATTTCAATGGGGTTTTATTCTTGAATTCTTGGGGTTCTTTAATATGCTGAATCTAACCGTGTATTAAGTTTTTGGATTTTGGGCCCCGTTTTTAAATTGGTCCACATTGAGGTCCAAAGGGTCCAAAATTTAACTTTGTTTGATTTCATCAAAAATTGAATTATTGGGGTTCTTTGATATGCCGAATCTAACCGTGTATTTAGATTCTCAATTTTTGGTTCCGTTTTCAAATTGGTCTACATTAAGGTCCAAAGGGTCCAAAATTAAACTTAGTTTGATTTTAACAAAAATTGAATTTTTAGGGTACTTTGATATGCTGAATCTAAACATGTATTTAGATTTTTGATTATGGGCCCAGTTTTCAAGTTGGTCCAAATCGGGGTCCAAAATTAAACTTTGTTTGATTTCAACAAAAATTGAATATATGGGGTTCTTTGATATGCTGAATCTAACCATGTATTTTGATTTTGGACATTGGACCATAATAGGTAAATTAAAAAAATTGAAGTTCTTAGACCACATTCTTTCTGTGTCAGAAACCTATGCTGTGTCAAATATTTAATCACAATCCAAATTCAGAGCTGTATCAAGCTTGAATGTTGTGTCCATACTTGCCCCAACTGTTCAGGGTTCGACCTCTGCGGTCGTATCAAGCTGCGCCCAGCGAAGCATTTTATTTGTTTTGAATTCTATTTTTGAATAAAAAAAATTGTCAAATATTACTGGAACTACTATTTAAATGCCCTCTACTTAATTGCCACTCTGTTTATAAATTTCACTAAGTAGCAAAAGTAACAATTTCAATATTTTCTGATATGTATGCCCTGTTTCAGCGTTCTTAATGCATACATTAGTGGGAATTTGGTTATATATCTTTTTGAGGTTTTGGCTGTTGTGGAAAATACCCCATAGTTAGCAAAATACTTTTAAAATAAGCTCATGGCTATTTTAAATTGGCAAACAAATTCAGGATCTCCAAATGGAAAAAACCTGCTCTTTTTGCCCCTCAAAATTTACAACTTTTAGAAGACATTTTCATCCAATCCTAGTGCAGCATAATCCATTAGCCATTCTGACTGGTTTGTAATTCAAATTCTGACTGGTTTGTATTTCAAATTTTTTATTTGGATGTAAATCCACAGGCACTGGTCTCTGAAAAAGATTTACTGATATACTTTAATATAACACAGCTACTTGTCTCTGAAAGAAAATTTACCTATATACTTAAATATAACATTATGTGTTGTTATATTAAAGTATATAGGTAAATTTTTTTCAGACACTAGTGCCTGTGTGTAAATCATGTTATTCATTAAGAATGCTAGATTGTAAAAGATCTTTTCCTCCAATATTCGAAACATTGTCATAGAATTTATAAAACAAAATGAAGTGGAAGACTATTTTATATTCTGGGGGATGGTGGGGAAAATTTTTTTTTAGTGGATTGACTATTCTTTATATCTTTGCTTATTTTTGTCTCGCCTTGACGGAGAATGCTGTTTCTGGCATCGGCAGCGGCAGCATCAACAATGTATTAGTTTGTGATTAGATCTAGTTTATGGTGAACCACAGGTGGTAGGTCAATGATATTTGGTATACAGTTGTATTAGCATTGGCACATCCCATTTCCATGGAGATTATTTGGCCCTGCCCCCTCAGTCATGGTCTATTGACTTTGAAACTTTTGTTTAGTTTACATGTATTAGTTTGTGATTAGGTAAGTTTATAGGGAAGCACTAGTGGTAGGTCAATGATATTTGGTATGCAGTTGTATAAGCATTGGCATATCTCATTTCCATGGAGATTATTTGGCTTTGCCCCCTTAGTCATGGTCTATTGACTTTGAAATTTTTGCTTAGTTTACATGTATTAGTTTGTGATTAGGTCAGTTCAATGGGAACCATTAGTGGTAGGCCAATGTTAATTGGTATTCAGTTGTATAAGCATTAGCACATCTCATTTCCATGGAGAATATTTGGCCCCACCCCCTCAGTCATGGTCTATTGACTTTGAAACTTTTACTTAGTTTACATGTATTGGTTTGTGATTAGATCAGTTTAAGATGAACTGCTAATGTTAAGTCAATGATATTTTGTATGCAAATTTATTGGCATTTGCATGTATCGTTTCCATGGAGATTATATAGCCCCACCCCTCATCATGGGTCATTAACTTTGAAACTTTTACATAGTTTACAAGTTAATGTTTGTGTTTAGGTCTGTTTAAAGGGAATAACTTAAAATAAGTCAATGGTATTTGGTTTGCAGTTGTATTAGCATTGGCACATCTCATTTCCATGGAGATTGTTTAGCCATGTACCTTCAGTCATGGTTCATCGACTTTGAATATTTGCATAACTTACATGTTAAAGTATTGCTATTTTAATTTCAACATTTGCATTATCAAAATTACAAAAAGGCGAGACATATCTCTGTGATAACAGTTTATTTTCTACTGCTTTGCCAAGAGTTTATATTCACTTTTTACACAATTGTTTCCTGTATTTTGTGTTGCAGAATAGTTATTTTCATTCCTGTCTTATGCAAGGTTATTTATTTTCAACTCTTATCAGGCCAGGATATTCATTTTCCAAATCCTCCTCTTAGGGAAAAAACTATAGTAGATATATAAAGAGAAACTGAAAACAGAAAATTATCAGTAATACAAGATCAACAAAAAAGATATGAGGTCTAAAATTGTATTCTAGTCTATAATATTTTAGAGTGGCTATTGTTGAAAACGCAATATAGATCCAGATGAGCAAGCCTCTAGTTTTGTTAAATGAGATCCTAATTGCCTGGAATTTCCCAGGTCTTTGAAGACAATTGCCTGTTTAATCTGGAGTACTTTGTGATTAATTGCAACTATGTTTATTTTTTTAAGTATTCTTGTATCAAACTGACCAGCTCTTCGGTAATAAAAAAATAACTGAAAACCAACATTGCAGATTGTGCTGCAATTTTATTGAAAACTTATGTTTTTAGTTTGTCAATATTGTATGTACCCCCAAACCAATTTCAGGTGTATATAGTCATCACTTTGCCCTAACAAATTATTTCCATTAGAATCCTTAGTTACTCTTGCTTGATTAAAGGGCACATTGTATCAATGAAATTAGGTATAGGGAAGTCTGGAAGAAGCCTCAAGTTCACTGTCACTAAAAACAGAATTATTTTTCAACAATCCCTTTCATACAACATATCCTTATTTTTAGGCTGTTACTACAAATATATTTTTTTTTTAAAAGAAATTATTTTCAGTTCAGATTATGATGGATGATGGATTGGTGTTTAACACCCAGTGACAAATATTACATGCATGTCAGTACGGTAACATGTTAATGCAATATAAATATGAATCCTGCTTTGTATCATTAATTAAACACACTGAGCCAGAATTTTAATGTACTTGTTCAAAAGGTAAAAGTTTACAGGAAGAGATGTTACCCTACCAGGAGACATTTTTCTGGTTTTGAGCTTACCAGTCTTTGCTCTTATTCCTAAACACTGCATGCTAAGGCAGAGAAGCAGCAAATAGAAAATAGACCAGGACAGGGAATGCACCCATTATTCCAGATGATAACTGGATGTTCCTTTCTTAGTTTTTAATTTTTAGGTCTCAGGTCAAGGTCACAGCTGCTACAATTAATACTGTTAATTCAGAAATTATTGCATGCATTTATTATTACGATTTTTGTCTCGCCTTGACGGAGTCAAAAAGCGAGACATAGGTATGCTGTTTCAGGCGGCGGCATCAACAATGTATTAGTTTGTGATTAGGTCTAGTTCATGGTGAACCACTAGTGGTAGGTCAATGATATTTGGTATGCAGTTGTGTTAGCATTGGCACATCTCATTACCATGGAGATTATTTGGCCCCGCCCCCTCAGTCAAGGTCTATTGACTTTGAAACTTTTCATAGTTTACATGTATTAGTTTGTGATTAGGTCAATTTATGGGGAACCACTAGTGGAAGGTCAATGATATTTGGTATGCAGTTGTATAAGCATTGGCATATCTCATTTCCATGGAGATTATTTGGCTCTGCCCCCTTAGTCATGGTCTATAGACTTTGAAAATTTTGCTAAGTTAACATGTATTAGTTTGTGATTAGGTCAGTTCAAGGGGAACCATTAGTGGTAGGCCAATGTTAATTGGTGTTCAGTTGTATAAGCATTAGCACATCTCATTTCCATGGAGAATATTTGGCCCCACTCCCTCAGTCATGGTCTATTGACTTTGAAAGTTTTGCTTAGTTTACATGTATTAGTTTGTGATTAGATCAGTTTAAGATGAACTGGTAATGTTAAGTCAATGATATTTGGTATGCAAATGTATTTGCATTTGCAAGTATTGTTTCCATGGAGATTATATAGCCCCACCCCTGATCATGGTTCATTGACTTTGAAACTTTTACATTGTTTACAAGTTAATGTTTGTGTTTAGGTTTGTTTAAAGGGAACAACTTATAATAAGTCAATGGTATTTGGTATGCAGTTGTATTAGCATTGGCACATCTCATTCGATGGAGATTGTTTAGCCATGTACCTTCAGTCATGGTTCATTGACTTTGAATATTTGCATAACTTACATGTTAAAGTATTGCTATTTTAATTTCAACATTTGCATTATCAAAATTACAAAAAGTCGAGACATATCTCTGTGATAACAGTTTATTGAAGAATGGATAAAAAAGCAAGATTAATTTCAGAAAAATCTTCTTACAGATATATGTATCGAATTCAAAATGTGAGTTCTTATTATTGCGATTCTCACCCAGTCCCATTGTTACCTGTACGAACTGTGACGCCCGTATATGACACGGAAACCAGGCGTAAAAATCATACTTTATCCTGGCGTCATTGCAGTGTTTAAGGAATGCATGTCCAGGCGTCAACCAGGC